AGACACCCAACTCATCCAAGCCTCCAGCACACGGGGACTTCTCCCTCTCCTGCCCCCTGCCCTTTCTCTATCATGAGGATGTGGGAACCCCACGCTCGGGCCGGAGAGGCTGGGCTGACTTCCGCCTCTCACAGGCACCTACTTCACCAGCGACTCGCTGAAGACTTAACCTGAGTGTTCCCCTATCTGTGTGGATGAGAGAGGGGCACAGGGACAAGGCTGCAGCAGAGCCACCAGCTGGCACCTGGGGAGGGTGGCTGACAGAAAAACCTTCATCTGCTGGTGACCAGAGGCTCTAGATCTACTGCCGTCTTCATCCCTGACTGCAAGTTCTTGTAAGCCGTGGGGACCTTGGGTAATTTTCTAGCTGTTAGGACAAGAGAGGGGTTAGCCCCTCTATCACTGTGAACTCTGGGGGCTCCATCAGTATGGCTTCCCCAGCCTCTTAAATTCCCTCCTTGGTCACCATCTGGATCCCTGGGCCCTTCAGATGCGTGTGGGTGTCCCCCTTTCCAGCTATGCCTGCTCTACGATTTCCCAACTCCCTCTGTCATCATCATGAATGACCTCTCCCCACACCAGAAAGCACACCTCATGAGAGCAGGGGCTGAATGGGGGTCTGGAGAAGGGCTGCATCTGCCACGTTTGGCCCTGTCTGTTCGCGGGCGCCGACAGCCAGCTGCCTCTGCTCGGCCTCCCCCTAGAGGGAGGGAGCACAGCCGTCACCGCCCACTGCCACCTTCCCCGAGATACCCAGCCTTTAACTCTGTTCACCATCCGTTCTGGCTGCCTAATCTTGGACAGTCTTATTAGCTCCCCCAAATGTCTGAAGTCAACCCAAGAGGGTAAAGAGAAAATACAGGCTTTGGAATCAGAGGTGCCTGGGTTTAAATCTTGGTGTTCCCACTGGCCAAGTGTGTGACCTTGGTGAAGTCACTTAATATGGACTGTTTCTTTAACGGGAGGTGGGAAGTCACCCCTTCATGGGGTTGCTCTAAGAATGAAATCAGATAAGCAAAAGGAGACCCTTAACGAAGGTGAGTTTCCCTTCCCTGGGACTGCACTGGGAGGCCTGTCTCACACCCCCACGCCTCATTACAGACCCTGACCTGGGCTCCATGCACACATAGGTCCCTTCCAGGCTGCAGAGGGCCATGCTGGTTGAACACGAGACATATACCCTCACCCTCACCCCCGGATCCTGGCCTCGGTCCTGTGGTCAGATGGTGCACAACCGTTCCCCGCATGCCTCTCTCCCGTATGCCATCCCCAGGCCCCTGTTCACCTGCCCAGGCTCCACACTACTGTATCAGGCTCTGCGCAGATCTTAGGGCCTGATGGTGTTCTCCGGCTTTATCAGCTCATGAGCAGCTCCCGCGAAAGAAGCCAGCAAGGAACCAACCCCAGCCTCTGCTTTCTTCACAGACACTCCAAGGCCCAGAAAAGCAAAGCAAAATGAGGGCCTCCCACGGACAGCCGGCTAGTGGAAAAGGCAGTATCTCTTACATATCTCACAGGGAGGCAACGTGCCCAAAACAGTGACCAGAGCGAGATACACATCCTCTCTAAAGCCGGGGCTGCAGCCTCGGAGGCCCTCATGCCAGGGGACAGAGCCAAGATATGCATTAAACAGTTCACAGCCCTGACCAGACCAGGATTCAGTGGGACAGAGCAGGTGCTGACCAATCGGGCCCCCTGGCAGGGCCCCTCCCCAACACCTCCTGGCCACGCCACACCACCACGGCTCCGGCGCCACCCGCTCCCTTCACCTCTGCTGGACCCCAGACGGAAAGGCCCCACACCACCTCCTGGCTCCCGGACCACAGGGACTTCAAGGGTTGAGAACCAAGAGCCAGATAGGCCTGGTCCCCCTCTCAGGGGGTGCCAACTGTTCTGGCTTGACTTGTGACATGATGCTCGTGTCATGTCAGTGGAAGCCAGACTGGTAAGCAGGGAGGAAAGGACTAAATGAGGATCGAAAATAGGAAAATCAACAGGGAGATGTTCCCCCCATCCCCCCCGCCCTCCAATTCTGGAAACACCAGAGGCCCCAGAGACAACTGCGTCACAGGGAGCCAAACCAACTTTCCCTTTGCTTCCCATTCTGGTTATCTCAATACCGCCAAGGGCAGGGCAGGGCTGTGCATGGGAGCGGCGGTGACCCCGAGGCAGGCCCGGGTCTGCACCACACATACGGGAGCAGGGGTGCCCGAGCACGGCCCATGGCCCCAGCTGGCCCTGGTCCGGCAGCCAGCACTGGCCGGACTCTAGCCGGCACATCTCGAGGGAGTTGGCCATCTCCTCCTCATCTCCCCAGCTGCACCCAAGCTCATCTCTCCTCTTTATTTGTGTTCCAGGCCCAACACCACAACATCCCTCCCTACGTTACTGCTGGAGAGGCTAAGACTTGTCAGATTCCTTTAGGAGAGAGAACCCAGACTCTTCCCAACGGCCCTGGATGCCTCACTTGGTGAGGACCTCGGGCTGCTCACCGCCAGCTCAGACTCATCTCCAATGGAGAGAAGAGAAGAAGACACATGGACAGGCAGAATTCACCAGTCCTTTCCGGACAGTGGTGGGAGGCGGGTGGGGAGACATCCGTGAGACAAGAGCAGAGGTGGGATCCCAGGGGTGCCTCCGAAAATTAGCCAAGCATATCCTAAAACTGCCCAGCACCATTCCTTTTATCTTGAGACCCCAGACAAATGTGCTGTCAGCTAATTCCAACCTGACCCTGCTCACCCAGAACACTGCAGGCATGCCTTCCATAGGAGAGACTTCCTGGTCGGGAGAAGGGGGAGCACCTACAGTCCGCTTCCTGAGCTGTCTCTAGAACATCACAGACTACCCCCACTCCTGTCCCTGTTCTGCTGACCATTTTCATTTTTAATACCATCGCTATTACTGTGACCAGCATCAAGTGAGGCAGAGAAAAAAGATTTCTATGTCAACTGCTTAGAGATGCTGTGTGATGCTTACTGGGCCCAGAATTTTTTTTTTTTTTTTTTTTTTAAGGTGAAGGCCATGAAGGCCCAGAGGAAGAAAGTGATTCACTCACTCACTCAAACAAACAAAAAAACCCCAAAACAACCCCTCCCCCAAGTAGGCCCTGAAGCCCACCACCAAGCCCACACTCTAAACTCCAGCAAGTCTAAAGGGATCTAGAGTAAGAGCGAGCACCCACTGGGGTACACAAGGAAGGGAAGGCCTGCAGGCTCCCCGGCACCTAAGGGGCTCTAACCCAGAACCTCACTCTGGATGTTGGGGGCCAAGGAGAGTTCTAGACCAGTCACCGAGGGAGGCCGCACTGCTCTGCTGACTGACTGCCACACCCAGCAGCGCATCCATCTCCCACACGACAGCTTGGGCTGGCCCTTCCCCCAGGCCCTTGCTGGTTACTAACCCCATTCACAGAAAAGCCAGGAATGGGAGAATGGAAAGAAGAGGGCATTGTTTGGGAGATTCTGAATGGAGATGTTTGAGGATTCCCTACTAAGGAAAATGGTGGCCATGAGAAGGAAAGGTGCTACGGGAAGGCCAGAAGCAGTAGCTCACACCTGACTTACCTGGGAGGCAGCAAAGCGGTTAAATCCCATTTTCTTGCACCGTCTGGTTTCGAATAAGCAGCCTGGAGATGATTCACTGACAAGACCAGATCATGTCCCCGTCCATCGGCACTTGGAATCACAGAACCACAGACACTGGTGGCTCCACAGCACCTACGAGAGGAGGCGGCAAATATCTAGCCCGTTCTGCCCTCTACCACCAAGGATGACATGTGCAGTCACCACCCAGCTCCTCCCGAGGACGGCTGACTAAAGGCAGATCTCCCTGAAACCCCCAACGGCGGGTGAGGGCGGTGAGCAGACACAGTTCCCGGATGCCTGGAGCCACGTCTGCGGTCACAGAGCCTAAAGAAAATCAAAGGAAGGAGGAGGAAGAGGTAGAGGAGGGCAGGGAAGACAAGAGGTCCAAAAGAAGCATGAGAGGTCAAAAGACATCCTTGGGCAAAGCAAGGCAAACAGGAAACCAAGAAGACATGTGGGAGGCTGGTGGGGGACACGGGCCACTCCGTGCCGTCGGCCACACTTTCAGCCTCTAGGCTGTCCTCCTCTAAGCCCCCAAATCCATCGAGAACCATCAGCCCCGCCTGGCCCTCATCCCGCATCAGACTTTCCGATCTATCAGTGTCTGAAAGAAGGAAAAGGAAAGAAAGCTTGGCATTCCGGAACCAGCCTCAGACACATAGCCCTTCCTGGAATGAAAGGCCCCTTGGAGATGATGGCTCACACTCTCGAGGTTCTGGTTCCCTGGGAGAAGGGCTCCTCTCTCGCAGGGGAGGGCAGACATGTCCGATAAGAATTGCTTAGCACAATGCTATATATAGTCTAGGTTCCTAGCGGCCTAGAGATTTGGAGCTAGAACTTGGCAGAGAACCACGCTAGATGCTGGCAAGGACCGTCCACCCCCAGCCAGCCAGCTGAGAGCCTCTCCTCCCTGCTGGGGGCAGCAAGGGCAGGCAGGGCCCTTCCCATCGTCCCATTAAGAACACGGCACTGAGGGACATGGGCTTTTGGCTCCGTCTTAGGAAAAATCGACTTCTGAATGTGAGGGCGATGTGCGGGGGCTAAACACTGAGATCTAGCCTCTCCGCAGCTCTCCAGTGGCACTAGAAAATCGATCTCGTCCTGTCTGATGGAGGACCGGGGGCAGGGGTCTGCGGGGAAAGGAAGGAGACGGCCCAGCAGCTGGGTGGGTTCAGCAAACAGCGAGGGCTTCCGACATCAGAAGAAGACAGCACAGACGAATACTTAACCTGCAGAGCCGGGCTGACAGGCCTTTCCTTTCTTTTGCTCCAAATAAATGCAAACGGGCCATTCCGTTCGGCCTCTGACGGCCGTCTTCTGCACACCGCTCCGTCCTCAGCTTAACGGGAGTCTCCAAGAGGCTGTCACCTACCCACATCACTCAGCTCCTCGGAGTTCTCTGCGGGGAAGAAGTGAAAAGGAGACAGTAGGCTCAGCTCTCAGGGCCCACCAAACGAGTGATGTTTTGCACGGGCCCCAATCGGGGTCCCGTTTGGGGCTGATATGTGGCCCTGGGACCCTAACCCTCAGCGGCTGCCCACCCGTCAACGGCAGAAACGAGACAAGGTTGGGCCCCTTGTCCTGAAAAAAGGCCAGTCCCATTGGGCACTGGGTCTCATCAAGGAGGGCCTACCGTCTCTTTTGGAAAACAAATCTGAGAGACAACAGAGCTCTCTGAACTACAGAATCTGGGCTCTCATCATATGCACGGCTTCTGGACAAAGACACAAAGGATCTAACAACCACATACATACAATTTTTTTTAGGTCAAGTTGCTCTCTATTCAGGCGCAAAAGACATGACACAAAGGGGCTGGGGCTGCCTTTGCACTCTGGGCAGGGACAGCTGGCTCCTGTCCTTTGCCCTGCGAACCTCTCCACAGTGACCTCAGCCAGGTCTCCCTGCTCCCTCTGGCTCCCAAGGCCCCAAAGCCACTCCCTGAAAAGATCCCAAATGAGTCATGTCCGGAGGTCCTTGGGGGAGAGGAAGAGGTGCTCAGTGACAAACGTCAGTGCTAAGCATCATCTAAGGAAAGCATGCGGCTGAAAAATGGCACAAGGGATGTGTAGGCTGGGTGGTCCCAGACTGTGCCGTCCCTCAATCCCCACCCACAAGTTGTTGGCTTCTCTGTCCCCAGCCATGGCCGAGGGAGACAGAACAGGAGAGAAGGGAAGCCAGATGCTGAGGACAATGGCTTGCCTGTGATTCGGTGGCAATGGAGGTCCAGGTCTCTCTTGCTCCCGAGAAGGCACTGCTGGGCATGGTTGGGCACGGTTGGGCGGGGCTGGGCGGGCGGGGCAAAGGGGGGAACGTCACGCGCATTTGACGTGCGCTTGGCGCAATGCTGCAGATTCGAGAAAAGCCTAGAACCCTGAGCCGCCATGATGACGCACATACACACGCACAAAGGTCAAGGACTCGAGGCCCACTGTTTCTTTCTCCTAAGAATGAACTGAGGAAGATGCAAGGGGAGGGGAGAAGTCTGATTTGGGACAATAAAGAAAGGGGAGGCTAACGCAGACTGCCCAAGAGCTAGTCTTCAGCTCAAGGCTGGTGATGCGGACCCGCCATCTTCATGGGACGCCAGCAGAGGACACTTAAGATGCCACATCTCCATGATGGGCACTTACTCCTGGGGCCCCTGAAGATCAGGGCTCACTAGGGACTGTGAGGCCCACCATACCCAAGATGGGACTTACCCTCTATCCAGGCCACAGTGAGAAATCCCAAAGGGTTTTCTGGCCCTGAGAAGATGCCTCTTGTTGCGGAAGAGTGAGAGGAGGTTGAAAAGTGGCTCTGTTTGCCAAGCGCATAATAATAATAACACAAGCAGCTGCATTTTCTGTTCGGTTTCTAAAATTTAAGAGTCCACAGAGCCCTGCTGGGATACCCGGTGTCACCCCCAACCCGATGCCCAGAAGTGGTCTTCTCTGCCAAGCCCTTCCTGAAAATGACCCCAGCCCCCGGGTCGGCTCCAAGCCCTGACAAGCTGTTCTTGCTGCTTTCATGTTGACAGAACGCCCTGGCCACTCGGCTGAGCGCTCCATCTCCCAGCTCCCGACATACTGAGTCATCATCCAAAGAGGAAAAAAACAACAAAGCAGTCGTCACCAGGGTCCCCACTGCCGTCGGCTGACGACTCATGGGCTGTCGTCACTCTCTGTTCTGCAGCCCCAGAATTGGTGACGAGGGGTTCCAAGGTGCCCATCTCCCCTCCCACGGGATGCAACGGCATCAGGAAGCAGGCAGCCACCGCTGCCATCAGAAAGAAGGGAAACTAACCTGGCATCACGAGGCTCCCTGGTAGGACCACTGGTTAACCCTCACTCTGCCACTGCCCACCCTGTCCTCACGGCTCCGCTCCCCCAGCGCTGCCCCGATGCAGACGTTAAAGGGGTCTTTATGCAGGTGGGAGAAGGCACCCCCTCGTGGGTTTCAGGTGTGGACTGCGTGGTTACCTCCTCCTCTGCCTCTGCTTCCAATACCCCTGAAGGCACTCAAGCTCCCTTCCCCCCATTCCTTCTCCAGCCACCTGCTATGGTCCCTTCTAAAGGCCCCGATAAGACAGTGGGGCAGGGGAAAGGGACGTGCATCACTTTCTGTGGGGATCCTATCTGCTTGGCAATATATTAGGCAATTCTGTGTAGTAGATTATGGTGGCTCCCTGTCACTGACTGACATCACAAAGCCCTAGAAGAACCACCCATAAAGACAAGGCAGGGTCAAGATGCAAACCTAGGGCAGTCCAAGTGCAAGGGCTCTGCTTCTTGCCTTGTATGAGGTCCACTGATTCTGGGTCCTGGAGCTCCTTCTGCTCTGAAGGTGCTACAACCATCCCACCTCCACATCCTCCTCTAGGAAGAAGGGGACCAGGACAACTGAGGGTTGTTAATCCACCAATTGCAGCTACCACAGGGAAAAAAAAAAAAAAAAAAGCCATCATCTTACGTGAACCTGACCACAAAGGAAGAGGAGAAAGCTAACGGGGTAACAGGGAGGGTAGCACGGAATGCTAAAAGACCCAGACGCTGGGCTCAGGAAGGCTGGCCACCCAAACTCCCATACGGCATTAGGGATGTACAAAATTCCTTAAATAGACAAGTTCTGGGGATGTACCTCATAAGAGGCATTTTGCAGACACAGAGAACTGATAGGTAAAAAAATGCAAAGACTCTGGGGAGAACAGGAGTTCTAATCGTGAGAACACTTACCAGACATGGGACGCTCCCTCACAGCGCTGCGGAAAATGATACATGAAACAAGTTCTGAGAAATCGCCCGACATGGTACCTGGCAAACGGAAGGCACCAAATAGGTAAGTGCTTTCCTTCTTTGTTCCCCCGCCTCTGGGAGCTCACCATCTAATAGGTGACCGTAGGACTTACACACAAAGAGCCAAACGAAAACCAAAGTAGCATCCAAGAAGGATGAAGTGTATGAGAGCTTGGCCGGAGGGAGCCAGGGGTGGTTCCGAGGATTGCTTCTCGTGAAGGGGATCCGCAAAGGTCCACAGAGGACGGCGGGCTGCCGCAGGTGGGTGCGGTAGAGCCAAAGAGTCATGGAAAATACCAGTGGTGCAAAGAGAGGTCGGAAAAGCAAGAAAAAGTGAGTTGCCTGGTTTTGCTGGAATACGTGGTCTACCTGGGGAAACGCAGAGAAGTCAGACTGAACAGGAGAGCTAAGGCTGGTTACAGACAGCCTTCAGCATCGTGCTAAAGAGAAGGAATTTTATTCTGGAAACGATGAGAAACCATTTTAAATTTCTAAGCAAGAAAAGACAAGATGGCCGCTGCACGCAGAAGGGCCTGGAGAGGAGAGGGATGGGCAGCAGGGAGCCTCACTGGAGGACTACAGCTGGAACCAAGGCACTGGCAGGGGGCATGACAAGGAGCAGAGAATAAAAACAATAAAAAGGGAGGGCCATCAAACAAATCTGCCTTGGACCGCCCCCCCCCACCCCCGTCCCCATAGAGAGACTGCCGGAGACAGAGCCTATTTGGGGAACACAAACCACAGGTCTGACACATCTCAGCAGCCATATCTCTGCCTTCACTCTCCCCCCCCCAAGAACTCAGCTTTTCCTCTGGACTGCTTTAAGCCTAAAACAAGGAGGGCACGGGAGACCTAGGCCTTCTGTGTGCAACACCCACCCTTCCGCCAACCCCAGACCCCCGGTGGAGGAACCCCCACCCAAGGCTGTGACCGAGGGTGGGACTGGGCGGTCCTGCCCCTGAGGCCACCTTCACTGCGGCAGCCACCACTGTGCCCGCCTCTGCTGCGTTTTTGCCCCCCCTTCCCCTCCTCCGTCATAGCCCCCGCCCCCCGCCCACTCTGCGGAACTGGCACAGCAGGACCAGAAAAACCAACGCCACCATGTCAGAGACCAGCAGAAATGCCTCCAAAATGGCAGCCTTAGGATAAAAAGGAGTCCAAAAATATTATCAACCCACCCAAGGAAAGGCAAGCCAGTGACAAGGGGAATGAACTGTGAACCCCCTCCCAACTGGGCACCCCCACCCTTCCTCACTCTTACAACTGTCACGTCTTTCCCATCGGAAACTTCCTCTAAAAACCCAGAGAGCATAAGAGGGGAAGAAGGGCATCACCCCATGCCCCCAGGAGGTTCTGGGGTCCATGGGTGACACAGGGCATCCAGAAGGATGTTCTACGTTCAACACTCCAAGAAGGGGGAGAGCACCCCATTCTGTCTTCAAACCTAGCTCCTACCACTGGCTGGACAAGAGGGAACCCTCTGAGGGAGCAAAGTCTTCTGCTCCCAACCAGACCCTCCCCAGCTCTGTGGGCCCTGGGGAGCCAGAGGCAGGGTTGCAAAGAAGGGCCGAGAAGGCACAGCCGTGCCTCCGTTATGTAATAAGAAGGGCGGTGCTGTCCTAGGCCAGCGACCCAGGGCGCACTGCGTTCCTCGATGCGCAGTCACGGGAGGGGGCCACTGCGCAAGGCGCAGGGCTCAGAAACCCACTCCCCACAAACACAAGACCTCCCACAAGGACCCGATGGGGAGCCAGGACCCTGATTTTCCCAAGTCTCCCTCCCCCAGCCACAGGCGAACAGCCTGCTGCCCTAGTTTTGCTCTTACTCTCCTCACTCCCCAGAATGACAAACCTTTCTAACCTGGGACCTCCAAACCTCTCGAGGTCCAGCTGCTTTCCTGGAAATCCCACCAAATACACAGTTTCTGAGCAACCCCCTGGGGTCGGTTCCCATCCTCACCTTTCCCGGCACCAGGGAGCAGCAGCTTCCAGAAGGCAGGTCCTTCCCACACTAGGCTCAGCTCTGGACAGCCCCGTCAATGCAAATCTCTGGTCCCCGGGGAGTAGCCCAGAGGCAGCAGGAAGCCCATGGTGGTGGCAGTGTCAGCAGCAGAAGCTCTGTCCTACCTTGCCCGTGCGTTTCCAGGGGAGCCAAGAATTATTTTGCCGCAACACTGAGGTGTGGCAGACTGAAAATTCCCTCTTCCAACACCAAACGAAAGGACAGATACCTCCTTCCAGTTTGGTCGACTCTCTGCGCACCCATCTCTCCAACCCTTCCTCCTTCAAAAAAAAGTTTGGAGAACCCTGAGCTCCTCTTCCTTAGAGTCCACGAAATAAGAAAGGCAGAGCAAGAGGCTTCAACTGGTCAGTCAGAAACAGGCACTGGCACAGGAGCATACGCACACCCCTAAACAGATTTTAGAAAGCTGCTGGGCTTTCCCCCCCTCCCCTTTAAGCAAGTGAAATGCAAATTCAGATTTGATACCCTGCCCTCAACCAATCAAAAAAAGGTTTTCACCTGCCATTGGCCCGCCCACCAATCAGAAGAAATGTCTGGAGTGAGAGCCCTCCCCTGGCCAATGGAAGGCCAGCTCAGTCACTTAGTTAATGATGCAGCAGTACAAGGAAGGCCATCACATGTGAACTGGAAAGGTGCCAACATGGAGACACAGAGAGCACAAGGTAAACAACTTTCCAACGCCAAAAGGATGACATTTAATCTCTAAATGCTAGCTTCCCTTCTCAGCTCATCCTTAACCCCTCTCAGCTGGCCCTACAGATGCCGGGAGCCTCACTACCTGTCCCCCTGGAGCTCCTAACGAGATGCAACAGTGACTGCGTCACCATTCCCCACTTTTCCCAACTACGCAGTGACAAACCTACCAGCTTTACCCCACTTCTCCCAACCCACGCCCCATCCTGCCCACCTGCTCCCCACCAGCCCCAGGTGCCCAGGGCTGAACATTTCAATAAGGCAACCCCTGGAAAGCTGTGCCTTTCACCTTCCTCCCAGCACCTCTCCTCCCCACTCCCTACCTTCCACCTAAGTATCGCATGGACGGACAGACAGACGCTGACACCCAAACAACCTGGAAAACCAGTCTGTCTGTCCAATAGAAGGAAATGGGGGCAAAGGCTGGGAGGTCAGGTGGGACGCCAGGGACAGCTTGCTCCTCTCTCCTCTACCCCGGTCAGGCTTGAGCAGCTGACACTAAGAGAAAAGAAATTAAAGTGGGGAAAAAAAAACCAAAAAGCCCTCTCTTGGAGAAAAAATAGCAAAAAGCGAGAAAGAAGGTGAGAAAGACAGAGCACCCACATACGCAGAGACATCGCCCCCGATCCCAGCAAATACGTACGTGGGGGAAGAAGGGGGTTACGCCATCAAGTCCTGAAGCCCGTCGGACCACCCATCGCCGCCTGCGCAGACCCAAATCTCGGTCTGGACGTAGGGTGCCGCAGTCCCGAATGTTCCAGAAATCGGTCCCGTTAAACCTTCCACCATCGCCCCGCAACCTCTTGCTCCCACCCCTGCCCCCCCCCCCCACCCACCTCCCCCCCGCGGGAACCGCCCGTGCCACCTTGCGTGTCATCTCCTTAGCCCGGGCTAACCAGAGGCCTCCAGCCCCCGACAGATTTCTGAACGCTTGGCAAGTGAGCTGGCAGAACCTGGTGCCCGGTGTTGCTATGACTTGTTTCTTGATTTCTCTCTCTCTCTCTGCTGCAGCACGGCTGTTGCTAGCAGACCTATCGACGGAGCGCTCTCTCTCTCCTCTCTCTCTCTGAGCTCTGTGACGCAGATCTAAATTCTCCAGTCTGCTCCTTGTGTTGCAAGAGCAGAACTGCAGCTTTTCCCCTGGAGAGCCGGAGGGCAGTGCCAAGGCTGGTCAAACAAGGCAAAAAAAAAAAAAAAAGAGAGAAAAGAAAAGAAAAAAAAAAAAGTTGGGCCTACACTCCACTTCCCTGGCCACACTTTTCAGCCCATTTTCTTACCCCATACACCTCACTGCTCTGGGGCAGAGAGGTCCTGGTCCCTGCAGGCTCCTGCCTTCCCCGAGGGCTTCCCAGCCACCAGACTAGCTTAACTCTTTGAGTGACAGCGCCTGGAACCCAGACAGGGCTGTCCCACACTCAATGTTGCCTCATCTTTTCTTGAACCGTGTGAGCTTCTCCCAGACAGGAGACTAACAGGCCCTCACCCTGACACCACCATCCTATTAACTCTTTCTGCCACGGACACGTCCAGAATGACGACCGTGGCGGACTTGTGCTGTCTGCGTTTTTTTTTGTTGTTGTTGTTGTTGTTGTTTTTTTTTGCCACACACCAGGAACTTTTTCTCCCTGGGGTTTCTTAAGGACCCAAAAAGTGTGATTAAAACCTTGCCTGCTTACCCCACGAATGCTATCCTTTTATCAGGGCAGGAGCTGGAGAAAACTAATTGAACGGCAGCCCCAAGAATCCAGAATAAAACCAGTCTGGATCTTGATTCTTTCCGGGCTCAGGATTTTAGGGCCTCGGTGGAAATGTCCGATCACTTCTCAAAAGGCACTTAGGCCAGTCGGTCCCAGAGATTCAGGTTGCTGAGTCATTTGTTCCCAAGAAGATCCTCTGACAACACGAAAAGCAGCAAAACAGAGCAGCGGCCAAACCGAGACCTGGAGTGGCCGAAGGCTGGGTTCCTCTCCCTGGGGTGGGCAGCCCGGTGAGAGGAGCACCGACCAGCTCTCCCAACAGCCCCCGTGATGGTGGCACGAGGCCTGCCCACACCTGGAAACTCTCACAGGGACGGGGCTTTCCCACCGGCGCTGTGAAGGCCGGCTGGGGTTGTTTTTGGATACTGACAGGTCCCCGCAGCAGCTAACCACAGAGCTCCCAACATTTTCCTACCCCCAGACCCAGAAATGCTTCCAGATCAGCTTAGATGCTAATTCACTAGACCCTGTATACCCAGAAAGATCTGGGGAGTGTCGGGTCCCCACACCACTATGTCCAAACAATGCAGACCCACATGGGTTTCTGACGACCAGTGATGCCACATGAGCCGAGACGTGACCAGAAGTGAGCGATACACTCAGGTCCTGGGGTAGCTGACCCAAAACGTATGTCACATCGAGAACCTTGCAACTTCTGGGAAGAGGACTTGGGAACAAGAGACCAGGTCACCACCTTGTCCTGGACCCCGCTTCCCAAGCAGTCTTCTTCAGGCAACTCCTCAGGGCCAAGGTTTCACCCCACAGAAAGACCACTCGGAAGACGACCGTGGCACTCCACGGGTTTAAAAGAAGCCCAGAGCATCTGTGCCAGGCTCCCTGCAGGGGGGAAAGTGGTTCAAATTCACACCTTCTGGGCTCCGGGGTGGTGCGTGCCAATAAAGAAGTCACCTACTGGTCTGATGACCAAAGGAATGTGGCCTTGATGGCACTAAAGCAGGTCCCTCGGAATGGTCCTCTGCCTACTTAAATACCGTTTGCCGTAGTTTCCTTTTCCAGGGAAGAAAAACATGCCTAAGTTCATGTCAGGACATTCCTGATTTATCCAAGGGCCCAGGATCAAATAAACAAAGGGCTCTGGACTCTGCCAGGGAGCCTCCTGCTTCAGGAGGGAGAACCATAGGGAAGTAGGGCTTGGCAGAGTTGGCCCATCACCCCATGAACTTGGTGAATGACGTGGCTGCTCACTGCCATGGCGATGGAGATGTCATGGGTGGGTGGAAGTGAGAGAGGAGAGGCAAATAAGTCATGAGAGACAGAGCAAGCAGCAAGTGAGGGTCAGAGGAGGGCCACACGCAGCCATGGAATTCACCGGCAGAGGCCAACCGTGGTCAACCACAGCACCACGGAGCCTGGGTCCGTGCGGAGAAAGGTCCCCATTTTGGAGACTCAGGCAGGCCCCTGTCTGATTTGAACAGCGTTAGGACGGCACTAAGTCTGGGAAGGCTTTTCTTCGTTTCACTTTTTGTCTAAGTCTTTGCTTTTTCTTCCCATGACTGTGTTATTTCTCTCCCAATTTTCCTACAACTGAAACAGTCAATTTAGGCACCTCTGTCCCCACTCCAGGTCTTCCTTCTATGAACCCGACTCTGCGTGGTGCCCACAACAGAAAAACCCGAATGGGATGACCAGGAAGCAGAAATGAATTCAGTTCTAAAAACACGGGAGGATGTTTACTTAGCCAGCACACTCGCATCTACAAGGAAGTTTTACAGGGCGCTGCACGCAGTGTTTGATTTCAGGGGGTAAAGATAACTTCTGAGAGAGGAGAAGGTGCTGGCTCCTTCCGTCCACCCCGTGAGGCCCGGGGAGGCTGGGCCACGGCAAACTTGAAAAGGCAGGGCTTCCTCCCGAGCCCAGGAGGTCCCCCGCTCCCTTCTGCTTCTCCGCAGCGACAGGCCCAGGAAGCTACGCACACTTTACAGTCCACATGAGCTCTCTATGGCCTCTGACTGATCTGGGTCAAAACTATAAAATGCCAGACATGAAGAATTATTTTCTTTACAGAGAAGGAGCTGAACTTTTACTCAGTCCTTGTCCAGGGTGTGGAAAGCAATCACTTGGTCACTGCCACAAACCCCGGGTCGGTGGGCATCCGACAGGAAAGGAGGCTCAACGAAGGCCTCTGTCCTCTCCTCACCTCATTCGGGCCTACTCTATGGCGACGGCCCCTCTCATTAGGAAAGAAACGGTTTTCTCAAGACAGGGTAGCTGTGCAGTGGGCTGATCTCAAACTCCATGCAAGTGTCTGGGGCTAGAGTAGGTGTTCTAGATAAACTGACAGGTGGGTCACAGTGAGACAAGTGTTTCGGTTTACCACCTGGGAGGCATCAGACAACAGGCCCCCAGTGGCCCCATGAGGTAAATCATTTATCAGGTACCTTCTACGTGCTAAGCCAACACACAGCATAGGAGAAGACACAGGCCATCCCCCTAAGACCTACACATACGAGCTGAGGACCCTTATCAGCTTTCCAAAAGGTAATTTTTGATATTTTGAAAATGTCCTCTTTACTTAAAAAAAAAAAAAAAAGATTTTATTTACTTGAAAGAGATAGCTAGCAAGAGAGAACAAGAGAGATCACAAATGGGAGGGAGAAGCAGACTCCCTGCCGAGCAGGGAGCCAGATATGGGGCTCCATCCCAACACTCTGGGATCATGATCCCAGCTGAAGGCAGATGCTTAACCAACTGAGCCACCCAGTCACCCCAAAAATCTGCTCTTTAAAACCTGGAATTCATTTTCCCATTGAAATAACGTTAAACACATCGGTTGGATTCCCAGGCTAGCCCCTTTGACCCACATCAGGAAGTCACAAACCCCAATGCCCCTGGGGTCTAGGCAGGTAGGAAAGGTGGGAAGCGAGTTAGGGAAGGAGCGTGCCCTCTGGAAGGAGGTCCCCACTCCTCACTGGCAGCCCACCCCAGCCCTGCCTGCTTGAGGCCATCTACGAACAGAGGCCACCAGAAGCCCACATCGTCCGGTTGTTCGGGCGAAGGCAGAAATCCAGACTCACATTTCCATTTTTAAACACTGTCAAAAACTTTTAAAAGTCAGAATATTCCTGCAGAGCTTCCAATTTGTTTTTGTTGTGGTAATGGATCCAAAATACGGTATGTTTGCTACAGAAAAGTCGGGAACAAACCTTCCAGAGTGAGGGTTTAAATACAATGAAGGAATGAAGAACGTAACTGCAGAGAGCTTCACCTCACAGACGCTGGTACTGGAGGAAAAGGACAGCAGAGAGAAAAGTGAGGACAATCTCAGCCTTCAGGTCAGTGGCTGTCAACGAGCCCCACGTGGAGGCCTATGAACGGAAGGGGGCTTTAGGATTATTTTTAAATATAGTTGATACCATTGAAGAGCTGGTTTCTGGGGGGTGGGGTCAGAGGGAGACGGAGAGAATCCTAAGCGAGATGACCCTGAAATCACGACCTGAGCCAAAATCAAGAGTCAGACACTGAGCCGACTGAACCATCCAGAAGACCCTACAGTGCTAGTATCTGTGCCTCATCCTGATCCACCAGAAAGACAAGACAGTCATTCCAACAGCCTGGCCCTCTCTCCCAGTTAGGAGTTGCTACTGTGCACGTCATCCAAGGGTCTGTCAGGGCTTTGTTGGTAAAATTGGAAGGGACAATGCAGCTGTCCACCAAGGCCCAGAGCCCTCAGAAACCAACACAATGACCAAGGTATTGTCCAGCCTCGCCTTGGTTCAGTAACTCCCATCCCAGCTCGGGAGGTCTCAGACAACAGAATATAACTAAGATGAACTCTCCCTCTACATAACTAGCTACTAGCCTCCAGTCTTTGCTCTGCCCCTGGAACCCACGAGAACAACCCTAGTCCCCCAAACACGTTCAGATATTTCGGGATAACTTTTACCACAATTTTTATTGGGTGAAACAAGGAGGTACAAAAAAGGGAAATGAAAAAAGAGGTGTGTGTGGGGGGGAGGGGGTGGCGGGGAGGAAGAAGCCGGAGAGAAATACTCTTAAAATAGCTGATCAAAAGTTAACAACCCAAAGGAAAAGAGGAAGAGACTTACGCATTACGTCTTCATGAGAAAGGAGGTGCTCATGGCAGAACAAACAGTTGAGTGCGTCAGGACACGCGAAAGGAAGGGCCCTCAGTCCACACACAAGGGAAATGTCAGCAGGAGCCACGGGATTAAAGAGTTCCCAAGGACAGCCACCAGGTTGTGCCAACGATCTGGGACAAACGGGATGGAACCTGGAACTGGGAGAGGGAAACTACACAGCTCACAACTGTATATGTGTGGGATATTCTTTTCCCTATTCTGAGCGCAGGAGTTCTTTTTCTTGTGCATTTCTTGGGAGTCTTTACATATTCTGGCTACAAATCCCCTTGCCAGTTACAGGTACTACCTGTGTC